AGGCAAACTTTTCCCACATCATCTTTCACTAGACCAGATATACATCTTGACAATAGACAAAGAAACATGGAAGAGGGAAAACAATATCTTAAGTACCTGTATAGCTGCTCCATTGAACAGAAGGTCATTTATGACAAATATGCCCCTCTACTCTCCCTATAAAACTCATAGGATTTGTTTTTGATGGCTGTTTTGCATGTTTTAAGTATATTTGGTTTGCAGATTCAAGAGCAGGAAGTACCCTTCCTGTAGCTTCATAGTGAAAGTCCCTTGATGAATAAGGCTACTGAAGCTGTAAATATAGACACCTTCACCCGCTTTCCTTTCCCCTTTCTTTCTCACATCTATCTTTCTATTCTCTGTCTCTTCATTAGAATAGTCTCTTGTAATCTGCATTTTTAGTCTTTTCTTGTCTCTCACTCTGTGGAGATGAAAACTTCATTCTGGTTACAGGTACTTCAAAAAGTACTTCCAGTACCACTGGCTCTTACCCTATATTCAGTTTTTAAATTTCCTCCACCACTCTTTCCCAAACAATGATTTAATGTATTTCATTCTCTTTACCCCCGAATCATCCTCCTTCTCTCTTGACAATCATCTACCCCCTTCCAATGGCACTTCTGGAATCCACAATAACTAGTTAATTTTTATGATTTAAGCAACTTTGATTGCCTAATCCCCCAAGTTTTAGATGTCTGTAAAGTTCCTGATGAGCCTGGGATGCTCTCATAACCTTATTAAAACAGCAAACCAATTCTAGGAAATGCACATTTTCCATCATAATTCATATTTTATCCCTCCAACCCAATCTACATGTTTATCTACCTCAGGACTTGTCTAAAATGTAATAACCAGAACTGCTCATCCTCCTCTTGCTCTAGACCAGCATTTCTCATATACAGCATGCTGGCTGCATGCGGCCACAGCCTCCTGGGTGGTCATGGGGGGTGGCAAAGCTGTGGCCCTCTCCCCCAGGGCTGCCAGCAGTGGTTGGACCCTGCCCACCTCTGGAGATACAAAAGCTGGAGGAGCAGGCAGCCAGTGAGTTCCCCACCTTCCCAGGGCTGGTGGGGTCAGGATTCAGCCCTTGGGTGGTGGATGGCAGGCTCCAGCCACGGGGCTTCAGGCTCCATTCCCCTGCTGTACAGTGGCGGGCTCTGCCCCAAGTCACCCCCCGCCCCTCCAATGCCCCTGGCCCCTGCTGCCTCCATATCCATCTCCCCATCCAGGGCTTGTCAGGGTTGAGTAAGTCTGCTGTGAAAAGTGATATTTCTATGTTTGTTAACATCATTTTTCACAGCAGACTTAGTAATTAGCACGTCTTTTAAAAAAAGCAACCAAAAAAAGCAAAAGACAAGGGGAAAGAAAAAAGAAAAAGAAAAAAAAAAAAAAAAACAAGAACATACAAAGCACCTTATTTGTGTTTCTAGTCTGTTTAGGTCCAGTAAAGAATAGAGACAACTGTACATTGTTTTTATTATTGAGTCTGGAAAAAAAATCCTATGTAAATAAATTACAATGATTTGGACATATATACACCTCTAACCCGATATAACGCGATCCAATATAACATGAATTCGGATATAACGCGGTAAAGCAGTGCTCCGGGGGGGGGGGGCTGCGGTGGATCAAAGCAAGTTCAATATAACGCAGT